ATAGTGTAGATAGTGGTACAGTGTAGTCACCGACAAGGCTGCCCCTCTGGCTTCATAGCGAGATCATAATATAATATAATGTAATGAAATATAATACAGTATAATAGGTATACAATGAATATTCAAGAGAGAGGAGGGAGAGGGAGGGAGAGGGAGAGGGGAAGGGGAGAGGGGGAGAGAGGGAAGGGAGAGGGGAGAGGGAGGGGAGAAGGGGAGCATGGGGGGGGAGAGAGAGAGAGAGAGAGGGGGAGTGGGAAGAGCTTCACCACTGGACAACTGTTGCTCTACCTAACAAGGCGACGATCCTCCCCGTGACGGCGGCGTGTGATTGGCCCACACCTGTAATTACCATCAATTTAGAGGTTGCCGCAGCAGTTAACACCCTGACCAGCAGCAGAGGCCAAAGGCAGAGACCATACGCTGACACCAGAGACAGACCCAGAGACCAACAATGGCCAAAACGAAGACCAAAACAGAGGCCCAACACAAAGACCAGATGTAAAGACCAGAAGAGAGTCCGAGGCGAGGACCAGATTAGTGACCAGGCCACAACAAGACCACGTGTCCGTCGTAACAGGAGACGGCTGCTTAATTGAGAACACGTGTCCGGTAATGAAGGGAATAGGTGTGCTGGGGTGACGACTGGAAGAGAGAGAGAGAGAGAGAGAGAGAGTTTGTTTGCCGTCATATACTACTGTACTATATATATATATACAAATCCCGACTTACTATAAATAATTTCCGTACTCATGGTAATATATATTAATTTATATAGGCTTCTTAAATTCATATTTGAGTATATATATAGATAGGATAATGTAAATAGTCATAATAGAAATAACACCATTCCTAACCTACCTAACCATTTATATAAGTTTTCATGCACTGTAGTGGATATACAACATCAAGTGGTGGTCATGTTTATACTTAAATTTAAAACACAATATAGTTAAACCTCCTAAAATTAAACCTTAATATTTAAAATTAAAAACCCTGGTAACTGAACCTACTAAAATTAATAAAGTAAAAGGATAAAAATAAAAAATAAAATAAGTCATAGAACACACCTTACCTTGAACACACCTTACCTTGAACACACCTTACCTGAACACACCTTACCTGAACACACCTTACCTTGAACACACCTTACCTTGAACACATCTCACCTAGAACACATCTCACCTTGAACACATCTCACCTTGAACACACCTCACCTAGAACACACCTCACCTAGAACACACCTCACCTTGAACACACCTCACCTTGAACACATCTCACCTTGAACACACCTCACCTTGAACACACCTCACCTTGAACACACCTCACTGAACACCTCACCTTGAACACACCTCACCTTGAACACACCTCACCTTGAACACACACCTCACCTTGAACACCTCACCTTGAACACACCTCACCTTGAACACACCTCACCTTGAACACACCTCACCTTGAACACACCTCACCTTGAACACACCTCACCTTGAACACACCTCACCTTGAACACACCTCACCTTGAACACACCTCACCTTGAACACATCTCACCTTGAACACACCTCACCTGAACACACCTCACCTGAACACACCTCACCTAGACACACCTCACCTAGAACACACCTCACCTTGAACACACCTCACGACACACCTCACCTTGAACACATCTCACCTTGAACACACCTCACCTTGAACACACCTCACCTAGACACACCTCACCTAGAACACACCTCCCAGAACACACCTCACCCTAGACACACCTCACCTAGAACACACCTCACCTAGACACCTCACCAGACACACCTCACCTAGAACACACCTCACCTTGAACACACTCACCTTGAACACACCTCACCTTGAACCTCAGAACACACCTCACCTAGACACACCTCACCTAGAACACACCTCACCTAGAACACACCTCACCTAGACACACCTCACCTAGAACACACCTCACCTTGAACACACCTCACCTTGAACACACCTCACCTTGAACACACCTCACCTAGAACACACCTCACCTAGACACACCTCACCTAGAACACACCTCACCTTGAACACACCTCACCTTGACACATCTCACCTGACACACCTCACCTAGAACACACCTCACCTAGACACACCTCACCTAGAACACACCTCACCTTGAACACACCTCACCTAGAACACACCTCACCTTGAACACACCTCACCTTGAACACATCTCACCTTGAACACACCTCACCTAGAACACACCTCACCCAGACACACCTCACCCAGAACACACTCACCTTGAACACACCTCACCTTGAACACATCTCACCTTGAACACACCCACCAGAACACACCTACCCAGACACACCTCACCTGAACACCTCACCTAGAACACACCTCACCCAGACACACCTCACCCAGAACACACTCACCTTGAACACACCTCACCTGAACACATTCAGAACACACCTCACCTAGAACACACCTCACCTAGACACACTCAATAGTTCTAGCACTAAGGGGTAACACTATATCAAGGTTACATAGACTCATTCACACGTTGTCAAGTTACTACTGCGACTGACTGGTGAAACTTCCCAGACTGTCAATGTGTAGGGTCACCCATAGTCTTTCTAACCTGTATTAAAGCCGTTTAGGTTGAGAAGAATTGCGTGAACGAGTGTGTGTGTGTGTGTGTGTGTGTTGTGTGTGTGTGTGTGTCAATGTCCACAGTCACCATCAGATGAATAAAGTGTTATACAGTGTTTTCATGGCGACAAAGTATACATTATGAATCAAGTTTCTTTACAACCGGTTGTTCACCCAGCTGTGTAAGATGGCATGGAGAGTTAGGTTAGGTTCATAGCTATTAAGGCTCATTTGACCTATTACAATACCAAACACTCTTTAAGAAACTATTTGAAACAATTGATAAAATTTTGAATAATGATTTTTGCCCATTATCCCTTGTTCTAAATAAACCTAAAAACATTAAGAATTTGAGGAAGAAACAAGGAAAATAATCTGAGGAAAACGTTCAGGAAAAGAAAAAGGTTTGGGTGAATAAGAAAGAGGAAATTTGATAAAGGAAAAAGAAGAAATTATATGGGAAGAGTAGAGGATTGTATGGTTGTAATGGAAAAGGTTGGATGGAAATATAAGAAGGAAAATAACATGATAAACGGAACAGGATAAAGAGAAGTTAATAATAGAAAGAAATTGAGAGAGAGAGAGATATAGAAACACGAGGAAAAATTTATTATTATTATTATTATTATTATATTATCTATTATTATTATATATTATTATTGTTATTATTATTATTATTATTATTACTGTTATTATTGTTATTATTATTACTATTATTATTATTATAATTTTTTTTTTTATTAAGAAATTTTTGTGGTGGAGAACAAACACTTATACATATAACACAAACATAAACACTTATATAAGCAATCACACTAACGTAAACACACGCAAACATAAACACACGCAAACATAAGCACTAATATAAGCAAACACACTAACATAAGCACACGCAAACATAAACACACGCAAACATAAACACACGCAAACATAAGCAAACGCAAACATAAGCAAACGCAAACATAAGCACATGCAAACATAAGCACAAGCAAACAAACACACGCAAACAAACACACGCAAACATAAACACAGTCAAACATAAACACACGCAAATCTAAGGCAACAAGCTAGCCCCACACATCACCCGACAAACACAAACACATGGAAAATCCTTTAACAAACAAAAATAAATAAATACTTTCATGGTAACAAATAAAACAGCTTCAATAGTAATACATATTTATTTAACTTTATTTACACGAAGTTATAAATAGCGACACACGGAAATAATAATTATATTTTCAAAACTTATTAACTTGGTGGGACTCTGCAGCACAACACACAGATGTTTGGTAGCACTTGAGACCCGTGTTTTTTTATTCCCTGCCACGTATAGGGATGGGGTTGTATAGTCAAACATGTCTATCTGTCTATTGTTATGTGTGTGTGTGTGTGTGTGTGTGTGTGTGTGTGTGTACATTAGTAAGGACGCATTTGGTATTATTTTCTCAAACACTTTTCACCATATGGTCATAAATCTTCACCTTTTATTTCATCATGGTTTAAACTCTCATTTGATTGGCCATGACGTAAGTACATACCACAATTTGTTCTAAAAATGTAATCAAAACAGTCCCATATAATTATATAGATAGAAGTCTTTGGCAGTGGGTCGGAAAAAGAATTACTCAGTATAACGTCCAGACCCTAATGGATGAGGCGTTGTTCTCATGAGGAAATATTAAGAAGAATTTCACAAGACGCCAACACTACCCCAACTAGCCACCACAACTTACGCCCTAAAACACACAGATGGAAAAAAGAAAAAGAAAAGAAAGAAAAAAATATATAACTGGGACTGATTAAGTTGATCTTAGTCTTCACGGGACCTAACCTAACCCAACCAACCAAACCTAACCTAACCAAACCTAACCAACCTAACCTAACCTAACCTAACCTAACCTAGCCTAGCCAACTAACCAAACCTAACCAAACCAAGCCAAACCTAACCTAACTTAGCAAACCTAACCTAACCAAGAAGGCTGGAACCCAATCTTGAGGGGCCACACACCTGAAACTACCAGTCTTAATGGGTTGGTTAGGTTGGAATGAGAGTGTGATAAAACTGGGATTAATTAGGACTATAGGATGGGCTCAATAGGCCTAAGAGCCAGTTGGGACTGGAACCAATTAAGACTGGGCTCATCAGGAATGGGGCCTATTGACTGGGGACTATTATGACTGGGACTAATATGACTGGGGACTATTATGACTGGGGACTAATATGACTGGGGCCTATTATGATTGGGGCCTATTATGACTGGGGACTATTATGACTGGGGACTATTATGATTGGGGACTATTATGACTGGGGCCTATTATGACTGGGGCCTATTATGACTGGGGCCTATTATGATTGGGGAGGACTAATATGACTGGGGCCTATTATGACTGGGGCCTATTATGACTAGGGACTATTATGACTGGGGCCTATTATGACTGGGGCTAATCAGCGTCGAAGATATGTTCACTTGGTGGATTTCAACTTCCATCAAGAGGCAGAAGATGTTCCACCTCCACTGCTCTCAGCCCTCAGCCCTCCTGCATTTGGGGTCTGAAGGTCAAATGAGTCCCAGCCCTAACTGACCCTAGACCTGATTGACCCCTCGATTCCTAATACACCCCAGTTCTAATAGACCCTATCCTGATCCTAACTGACCTTAGTCCCAATAGACCCAAATCATGTAGACTTTGTTCCGTGAAGACTGGGGCCTATTTGACCAGTCTCAGCCCATAGGAGCCTTAGAAAGTACCGAAGGAAGGAGAGAGGGAGAGGAGGAAAGTGAGAAAAGAAGAGAGGTGAGGAAGAATGTAAGAAAAAAGGAAATAAGAAAAAAGGGATAAATAGAGATAAAAGTAATGGATAGAAAGAGGAATGTCAACAAAATAAGAAGAAGGAGAAAAAAAATGAGCAGCGGTAAGAAATGTGGATCAAATAAAAGACTAATAAATGACGTAAGAAATAAACAAAAGAAGTTAAAGATAAAAAAATGAAAGGAAAAAAATGAAGGAAAGGGAAAGCGGGAATAACACAAGAAAGAATGAGGAAGAAAGGCAAAAGATAAGGTGTAAAGAAGTGAAGGAGAGATGAAATGGGAATTAAAACAAATAAAGAACATAACAAGAACGGCAACAAAGAAGGGGGAGGGGGATGGGATGAACAGCTCGAAACGAGATTTTGAAGAAGGGAAGCAGAGAGAGGAGTGAAAGATCGGTTGAGAAAAAAGAAGGAAAAGTTTGCGTTCGAGTAGGTAAGTGAGAGAGGAAAGGAGGGGAGGGAGAGGCTGAGGGGTAAAGTATGGATAGAAGATAGGTCTGGGTGTGTAGGTAGAGAGAAAGAGGGAGAAAAGAGAGATGAGAGAATACCGAGACGCCACTCAGAAGTGAAAAGGAACGAGAGGGGAGGGGCTTCTCAGCCGCAGACCTCCCGCTAGCTACCTGACGAAGACGGGGCGAACCCAGGCTGTGGAGGGCGTAGCTCCTGCGGGAGGTGAGGGAATGAATGAGAGAGAAGGAAGTGAGGAATGAGAGACGCCGGAGGTAAGAGAGGGTTCTGGTGCAGGAGGGCGAGAGGCAAACCGAAGCCTCTCCAGCTCCGCCTCCTTCAGTCTCTTCTCCTTGGCTCGACGGTTCTGGAACCAGATCTTGACCTGCGTCTCCGTCAGGTTGAGGGAGGCGGAGAACTCGGCCCGCTCGGCGATACTCAGGTACTGCTTCTCCCGGAATTTCTTCTCCAGGGCGAGGAGCTGCTGGGTGGTGAAGGGCGTGCGAGGCTTCCTGTTGGGCTTGTGCTTCCTCAGCGTTACCTTCATCGGCCCGTGGAACCTCGGAGGCTCCGGGGACCCTGTCCAAGGTGAGACAGAGATGTGGTAAGACCGTCTCCGTCTATACCTATGTCTGTCTCTCCTAACCAATAATAAAAGTTTATCCATATTCTATCATAACTCCCGTACACATTAGGTACGACTAAAGCAGCTATTAAAATGTTCGTTAAGAGAGCAGTAGACATCATATTATCCAACACCATAACTGAGAGACAGACAAGTTAATGTTGTAACGAGACCCGATACTGTATAATGATGAAGCTGAACATTATGGTAAAACTTATGGTATAACTTCTACTGAATTGGTGTTATGATTAACAACAGCTGGTGGTGTGATAGTGAGGCAACAGCTGGTGGTGTGATAGTGAGGCAACAGCTGGTGGTGTGATAGTGAGGCAACAGCTGGTGGTGTGATAGTGAGGCAACAGCTGGTGGTGTGATAGTGAGGCAACAGCTGGTGGTGTGATGGTGAGGCAGCGCTGGTGGTGTGATAGTGAGGCAACAGCTGGTGGTGTGAGTGTGAGGCAACAGCTGGTGGTGTGATGGTGAGGCAGCAGCTGGTGTTGTGATAGTGAGGCAACAGCTGGTGGTGTGAGTGAGGCAACAGCTGGTGGTGTGAGTGTGAGGCAACAGCTGGTGGTAGATGAGTGAGGCAACAGCTGGTGGTGTGATAGTGAGGCAACAGCTGGTGGTGTGATGTAGTGAGGCAACAGCTGGTGGTGTGATAGGAGGCAACAGTTGATGGTGTGATAGTGAGGCAACAGCTGGTGGTGTGATGGTGAGGCAGCAGCTGGTGTTAGTGATGGTGAGGCAACAGTGGGTGTTGTGATAGTGAGGCAGCAGTTGGTGTTGTGATAGTGAGGCAACAGCTGGTGGTGTGATAGTGAGGCAACAGCTGGTGGTGTGATAGTGAGCAACAGCTGGTGGTGTGATAGTGAGGCAACAGCTGGTGGTGTGATGAGTGAGGCAGCAGTTGGTGTTGTGATAGTGAGGCAACAGCTGGTGGTGTGATAGTGAGGCAGCAGCTGGTGGTGTGATGAGTGAGGCAGCAGTTGGTGTTGTGATAGTGAGGCAACAGCTGGTGGTGTGAGAGTGAGGCAACAGCTGGTGGTGTGAGTGTGAGGCAACAGCTGGTGGTGTGATGGTGAGGCAACAGCTGGTGGTGTGGTGATAGGAGGCAACAGCTGGTGTGTAGTGGGCAGCAGTTGGTGTTGTGATAGTGAGGCAGTTGGTGTTGTGATAGTGAGAGGCGTTGGTGTTGTGATAGTGAGGCAACAGCTGGTGGTGTGATAGTGAGGCAGCAGTTGGTGTTGTGATGGTGAGGCAACAGCTGGTGTTGTGATAGTGAGGCAACAGCTGGTGGTGTGATAGTGAGGCAGCAGTTGGTGTTGTGATAGTGGGCAGCAGTTGGTGTTGTGATAGGGCAACAGCTGGTGGTGTGATAGTGAGGCAGCAGTTGGTGTTGTGATGGTGAGGCAACAGCTGGTGGTGTGATAGTTGAGCAACAGCTGGTGGTGTGATAGTGAGGCAACAGCTGGTGGTGTGATAGTGAGGCAGCAGTTGGTGTTGTGATAGTGGGCAGCAGTTGATGGTGTGATGAGACAGCTGGTGGTGAATAGTGAGGCAACAGCTGGTGGTGTGATAGTGAGGCAGCAGTTGGTGGTGTGATAGTGGGCAGTTGGTGTTGTGATAGTGAGGCAACAGCTGGTGGTGTGAGTGAGGCAACAGCTGGTGGTGTGGTGTGAGGCAACAGCTGGTGGTGTGATAGTGAGGCAACAGCTGGTGTTGTGATAGTGAGGCAACAGCTGGTGGTGTGATAGTGGCAGCAGTTGGTGTTGTGATAGTGAGGCAACAGCTGGTGGTGTGATAGTGAGGCAACAGCTGGTGGTGTGGTGTGAGGCAACAGCTGGTGGTGTGAGTGAGGCAACAGCTGGTGTGTGTGATAGTGAGGCAGCAGTTGGTGTTGTGATAGTGAGGCAACAGCTGGTGGTGTGATAGTGAGGCAACAGCTGGTGGTGTGAGTGTGAGGCAACAGCTGGTGGTGTGAGAGTGAGGCAACAGCTGGTGGTGTGATGTGAGACAACAGCTGGTGGTGTGATAGTGAGGGCAACAGCTGGTGGTGTGATGAGTGAGGCAACAGCTGGTGGTGTGATAGTGAGGCAACAGCTGGTGGTGTGATAGTGAGGCAACAGCTGGTGGTGTGATAGTGAGGCAACAGCTGGTGGTGTGATAGTGAGCAACAGCTGGTGTGTGTGATAGTGAGGCAACAGCTGGTGGTGTGTAATGTAGGCAGCAGCTGGTGGTGTGAGTGAGGCAACAGCTGGTGGTGTGAGATGAGTGAGCAACAGCTGGTGGTGTGTGGTAATGTGGCAGCAGCTGATGGTGTGGCAATGTGGCAACAGCTGATGATGTGAGAGTGAGGCAGCAGCTGGTGGTGTGGTAAAATAGCAACAGCTGGTGTGGTAACATTGAAATAACTGGGTAATATAGCAATAGTTGATGATGTGGCATTATGGCGGCAAACCTGTTGATTTGACAATATGGCAACAACTGCTGGTGTGGTAACAGGCTAATAGCTGGTGTTGTGGAAATATGGCAACAGCTGGTGGTGTTGAAATATGGCAACAGCTGGTGGTGTGGTAACATGGCAACAGCTGGTGGTGTGGTAACATGGCAACAGGTGGTGGTGTGGTAGCATGGCAACAGCTGGTGGTGTGTGCTTATAGCAACAGCTGGTGGTGTGGTACATGGCAACAGTTGGTGGTGTGTAATGGCAACAGTTGGTGGTGTGGTAACATGGCAACAGTTGGTGGTGTGGTAACATGGCAACAGTTGGTGGTGTGGTAACATGGCAACAGTTGGTGTGTGTGTTAACATGCTAACAGCTGGTGGTGTGGTAATATGGCAACAGCTGGTGGTGTGGTAATGTTGCAACAGCTGGTGGTGTGGTAACATGCTAACAGCTGGTAGTGTGGTAATATGGCAACAGCTGGTGGTGTGGTAATGTGGCAACAGCTGGTGGTGTAGTAACATGGCAACAGGTGGTGGTTTGGTAACATGGCAACAGCTGGTGGTGTGGTAATATGGCACAGCTGGTGGTGTGGTAGTGTGGCAACAGCTGATGGTGTGAGAGTAGGCAACAGGTGGTGTGTGGTTAGATGGCAACAACTGGTGGTTGTGGTAACATAACAGCTGGTGGTGTGGTAACATGCAACAGCTGGTGGTTGTTAACATATGGCAACAGCTGGTGGTGTGGTAACATGCTAACTGCTGGTAATGTGGCAATATGGCAAAAAACTGGTGTTGTGGCAACTGACTAATAGCTGATGATGTGGCAAGATGGCAACAGCTGTTGGTGTGGCAATATGGCAACAGCTTGTTGTGTGGTAGCATGCTAACAGCTGGTAGTGTGGCAATATGGCAACAGCTGGTGGCGTGGTAACATGCTAACAGCTGGTAATGTGGCTATATGGCAACAGCTGTTGGTGTGGTAACATGCTAACAGCTGGTAGTGTGGCAATATGGCAACAGCTGGTGGTGTGATAACATGGCAACAGCTGGTGGTGTGATCTTTGGCAACAGCTGGTAGTGTGGTAACATGGCAACAGCTGGTAGACACGTACTGGCGAAGGCCCTGAGGGCCAGGTGGTGGTGGAGGAGGTGGAGGGGCGGCCACAGTCCGGGCTGTAGGCTCGGAGGTAGGAGGGCGGGGGCGCCTGGGGGGAATGGCACGTCCCGGGGGGGGCCGAGCACGGGGGCTGTGAACCCCCCTTGACCGTGGCAGTCCTCGCCCAGCTGGCTCTCGTCCTCGCCCAGCTGGCTCTCATCTTCACCCAGCTGGCTCTCATCCTCACCCACCTCGCCCTCAGAGTCCACCTGGATGTCGGCCTCGTCGTCGTGTCTGGTGGGAAGCGTCCTCGTCGTCGTGGTCACTCTCCGGGTCACAAGGGTCGCTGGGGGTCACTTTGAGGTCATCGTGGGACCTGGAAGGTCGCGAGTCTCCCGCCAGGATGGAGTCTACGGAGAAGAGAGAAGGTCTTCTTGACGGCGGCGCTGAAGGCGGAGGTGTGGGTGGGTGGTCCTCCTCGGCCGCCACTCCAGACATGGTGCTCACACTCCTACTCCAACCCTCCTACTCGCTCACTTAAGTCCATTATTCGTGGAGTGCGAGGCTCACTGGCTAGCTGTGGCCGAGACAAAAATATAATAGGTGTTTTCAAGTACGTGAGTGCCGGACGATATCAATGAAGCGCATTATTATCTCAATCTGGTTATGTTACATACTGTAGCTGTCATGTAAGAAATGGTGCAGCCTCATACCCGGACAGATCCCACACCTCTCAACTCTAACTGCTCACCCTCAAGTATTAAGTGGTAACTTCATCCCCACCCTCGACATGGCCCCGCCCAACACTCCCACCTACGCCCCGCCTCCACACCTCCGGCCCTATCAGCACCGCTCCTCCAACTGAGGGGCGGCGCTCCTAATAGTCCCGTGACCAATGAGCTCGTGTCTTTGTGATCACTCGGCATGGACCATTAGCTTTATAGGAAGATTTACTGTCTGGGTGCTTGTGTGGCGGACAGGAGGTGCAGAAAGCCCCTTATTTCATCTCAATTCCCCTTTATAAGTGTGGCTCATCCTGCGCCGCTGGCTGACAGGTCACGCCAACCGCTGACGGTAATGAAATGGAAATGATCGTCACCAGGACCAGCCATAATTGACGGCGGGGGACGTCCGCCACCCACCTCCCCCACGCCCACCCCCCACACCCACAACCCTAACACCCACTAAACTCACCCTCACCCCACACCCACAATCCTAGCACCCACTACAAAACCCACCTCACGCCCATCACCTTACCACCTAGCACCCACCACCCTAATACACTCAACACCCAACACCCACCCTTACACCGACCATACACCCACTTTACCACCCATCTCACACCCCCACCTCCCAGCTGGTCCCTAACACACACACACACACACACACACACTCCCAGCTGGTCCCCAACACACAC